TTGATTTGTCCATGCTCTCGCCCTGCCCCTACCCGCCCCACCCAGCCCCTCACAAGCCTAAGCCCAAGCCCCAGACCCAGCCCCAGCCCTAGCCCCGCAATAGGCTCCTTAAGGCTTTATGCTTCTACCTCCAAACCATGAGGTCCGGTTCCACAATTTCCTCGAAACTACTGCAGTACAACCCCTGCCACCAATGTAGACGGACTGCCCACATTTTGAAGTCTGTCTGATACTTGAGATCATGTCATCTCGTTCCATTCATAATCTGCATAAAAGCATGAGCGGCTGAGTCATTGTATGACCTATATTTCACTGCCATCTCAAAGAAATGCCAGATATCTTTCCCCCTAAACTACCTTTTCCAACTAAGCGGTTTGTCATAGCTCATAAATCATCACGTACTAAGTGCATGGGAACACATAGTCCACGTCAACAATGATGGACGTAAAAAGAAGAGAAATATAAACATATAAACCTCTAAATCTGATCTTCAAGATCTAGTTCCCTGTCTCTATCCTAAGATTGTCAGTGGAACACACAGGTCACTGTTGCCAGTGACATTGTAGGATGAACACAGATATGGCCTTGTGTCTTTCATCCTTTACAGTCAAGCAGAGTTTCATTTACGAATCTGCGGTTGGCTTCATGTCTAAGGCCTCGCTCTATAGTACCATGGGTGCACCCACCTCCAATAGACCTCTTCAATCTCTACAATCACCTCCCTCCTAGCACACATTGACTTGTCCATGCCCTCGCTACGCCCCACCTTGGCCCACCCAGCCCAAGCCCAAGCCCCAGCCCCAGCCGTAGCCCCACAATAGGCTTCTAAAAGCTTTATGCTTCTACCTCCTACCCTTGAGGTCCGGTTCCCCAATCCCCTCGAAAGTACTGCAGTACAACCCCTGCCACCGATGTATATAGCCTGCCCACATTTTGAAGTCTGTCTGATCCTTGAGATCACGGCATCTTGTTCCATCCATAATCTGCATTTAAACATGAGCTGCTGAGTCGTTGTATGACCTACATTATACTGCCATCTCAAAGAGATGCCAGATATCTTTCCACCTCAACTACCTCCTCCAACTAACTGATTCGTCCCAGCGCATAAATCACAACGTACTACCTGCCTGGGAAGACATAGCCCAGGTCAACAGTGAAGGAGGTAGAAAGAATAGAAATATAAACATATAAACCTCTAAATCTGATTTTCAAGATCTAGTTCCCTGTCTGTATCCTAAGATTGTCAGTGGAACACACAGGTCACTGCTGCAAGTGACATTGTAGGATGAACACAGATATGGCCTTGTGTCTCTCATCCTTGCCAGTCAAGCCGAGTTTCGTTTCCGATCTGTGGCTGGACTCATGCCTAAGGCCTCGCTCTATAGTAGCATGGGTGTACCTATCTCCAGCAGACCTCATCAATATCTCATATCACCTCTCTCCTAGCACACATTGATTTGTCCTTGCTCTAGTCCTGCCCCTGCCATGCCCCACCCCAGCCCCCTTTCAAGCCTCAGCCCCAAACACAGCCCTAGCCCAGCAATAGTCTCCTTCAGGCTTTATGCTTCTACCACTGAACCTTGAGGTCCAGTTCTCCAATCCCCTCGAATGTACTGCAGTACAACCCCTGCCACTGATGTAGATTGCCTGCCAATATTTTCAAGTCTGTCTGATCCTTGAGATCAA